CTCCTTCGCCTGGGTCAAAACTTAAAACCTCTTCTCTCTGTGAAACTAAAGACAACTTTTTAAGTACGTGGAATTATCTAATTTATTATTGAACTTTTCAAAATTGCCAAAAACCGCAACAAAAGAACTCCTAAAGTTTTATCTAGCTTGTACAGTTTAGTTACTTATGTAGGTGTTGTACACAGTGCTGTAATTTTATAATAAAAAGAAATATGCGTCGAACAAAGCTGTGAGAAAAAATATCAGTTCAAAATAGACACTAATTGGGCGAATCACGCAAACAAACTATTCTGTCTCAATCACAACTTCTATAAAAACTATTAATCGGTACTTAACACAAACATGTACCTAGTAACGTGCAAAAATAAATGAATCACCGATATGTAAAAAAATAACTTAAAAGTTTATCACAAATTATTCGCGTAATTGAATGAGCAGCACTGAACCGCATCAAGTCGCTCACCGAAAAACACTGGCTGTTTACGAAGGAAGATCTGTAAGCTATCGAGCGGTGTGGAAAATCTAAGAACCGGCTTACGAAACCGCGGAACCGGTTGTCAAGTTATTTTACTGATGCATTAATATGTAACAGTTCAAATCATTCGCACTTTGCCACCTCAGAACGTTTACAATGCAAGTTCATTTGACTGCATATTTTTGAAGTGAAACTTCTTTATCGGCGTTGGAAAAAAATTTACCGTCACATTTTTCGGTTACGCGTCACATTTTTTGGTTACGCGCCATCTTTTTTTTGGTAATAACAACGACGATGAACATATAAATGAAATGAAATGAAATGGAATGAAATGGAATGAAATGGAATGAAATGGAATGAAATGAAATGAAATCTTGTTTGTATTCATGTCTATGATAATAAAATCCTTTTGTTTAAACTTTATCTAATTTAACTTTATTAAACCAATTTCTGGAAAGTTGCATGTAGGTACATCATTTTTCGAAAAATAAGGCATAAAGAAGTTTCACTTCTTACGTGTGTACACTAGTACACGCACACATTTTTTTTTATGTTATTCAGTATAGGTATATTTACATGAAGACAACGACTATGTTTAAGAGAGCTAGGACATACAGGATTTAACCGCTTGAATAGGTGCTCCACTCCACGGGGCAGGGGATAGGGTTCGGTCCGTGAGTAGGGTTACCATCCATCTCGATTAGTCCGGACTTTGTCCGGATCTCAAAATTGTCCGATTTTTTTAAATTACATTGAATATGAATAGTAAATGTACATATTGATTTAAATACATACAATAAATGGTATACCATTGTAACTAAGTCAGTAATGGTACCATGTTGTGACTAAAAAAAAGTCCGGACTTTTTTCGCAATGTCAGGACTTTTTCAGGACTTTTGAAATTCCTAAATGGTAACCCTGTCCGTGAGACTAGTTAGGTGACGCTGTGAAGGGAGAAGCCCAGGATCGGCTAAAGGGGGGCGGACCGGGCTGCCGGTTTGAGGCGGGGTGATTTGACGTATGCCACGCTTTCGTGAGTGTACGTCTAAGTATATCCGCACCGGCTAGCGACCCTCGGGCTGCTCGCCGCTGCCGAATGCACCACGCAATTATCAACGTCGCGAGGGTTTGTTGACAGCAAACCAACACTTGTTCTCCCCTTCGTCGAAGAAAAAAAAACGGGGATATGATCAGGGCGAGCGACGGGTCACGCAGGTGATACTCTGAAGGTACGTTTACACGCTTGCCAAAATTTGGCAAACGGCAAACAGCCCCAAGCCTCCACAAATCTCGTTTGGCGTTTGAAAGGCGTTTACACGCTTGTGAATGCGTCAGTCTGCAACATACATCCAAGCATGGCGGACACCGAACTTGTGACGGCTATTGCATTTGGCTTAACATACTTTTATTTGAAATGCAAGCAAAGTGAAACAAAAAAAAAGGAGAGCTCGACGACATCAATATCTCTTTTTTATTTTTTATTTCCTTTACTGGCCTTCCGGTTAGTTCAGCAAGACGAATCCATGCATCTGCTTGTTTCTTCTTATCTTTATTTTTTTTTTTTTTTTTTTATAGTTAGGTCCGACAATTGACTCCATCTTTATGATTTGTATCTTTCGGATTCCAGATGCAGGATTCCATCTGGTAATGTTCCAGAAACGAAAGACTCTGCTCATTCGACCAGCCACTCATTTTTTATTTTTTTTGTATAATTAAGCAATTGTGTACTCGCCGCGAGATCACAATGGCTACTAAACGCGGACCAACATGTAAATACGTCGCAAGCGCTTGCCGCAAACGCCCTTTGATCTGCGTAAAAAAACCGACACTCGACTGGATCGTAAGCAAGCACCCACAAGCTCACGCAAGCCAAGCCAAACGCCCTTTTTACATGCTTGCGATTGTCGAGGCTTGCCAAGGCTTGGCAAGCGTGTAAACGTACCATGATATCGCAATCGTCTAGGCCATGACGGCCGCTTACCATCGTGCTGGCCAATATGTTTGGTTGCAACCATTTTTACATAAAAAACATAATTATAAAGAAATCAGGACTTAAAATTTTAAGTCCTGAATGCGTGCGGCACTCCGAAAGTTTTGAGATACTGAAAAAAATATACTACATGTTATATTTTATAATTATGTCTTTTCAAAGATCTTTAAGAGAAGAAGGCATAGTGGGATGTTACGCTCGAAATGGAGCGCTCGGATGGAGAAGAGCTCCACCTTGACGACCTCCGTGGCCGAGTGGTTTGTACGCCGGGTTTCATGGTGTCGCCGACTCGAGAGGTCCCGGGTTCGAATCCCGGTGGGGGCAGATGTTTGTATGATGAATACGAGCATTTGTACTCCAGTCATGGATGTTTAATATGTATTTCTATATAAACATACTTATATATGTACAGTATATGTATTTTATCCGTTACCCTAGCATCCCACAACACAAGCCTTACAGTGCTTACTTTGGGGCTAGGCTAATTGGTGTGAGTGTCGGAAATATTTATTTATTTATTTACAACTGCAAACATTCAAGCTTGTAAAACACAAATATCTAAAGTAAATTGGCAGGATGTGTTTGATGATGACAGCACAATCAATGAAAATTACAGCATATTTATAAATTTAATGACGACCCGTTTGAATAAATTCATATCTATCAATAAAATCATAATTAAACAGAAGTGACGTAAGTCATGGTTAACAACTGGTTTAAGGAAATGGTGTAAACATAAAATAAAAATAATCATAGCTGCGAATTAGACGACATTCCACCAATTTTAGAGTAAAACAATGTGCTGACGAATTAGCCCAACCTATAACTTATCTTGTCAATCAAAGTTTCAACGAAGGTTTTTTTCCAAATCTAAGAAAAACCGCAATTATTGTACCTTTTCATAAAAAAGCGGTCACTTTAATCCCTAATATTGGGTGATCCCTAACATGAGGAGCTCAATGGCACAGGTGGTTAGCGCGTTCGGCTGCGATCGTTGAAGTTAAGCAACTTTCGCAGTGGTCGGTCATTGGATGGGTGACCAAAAATTTACTATCTCGAGCTCCTCTGTGCTTCGGAAGGCACGTTAAGCCGTTGGTCCTGGCTGTATCTGGAGTCGTTAGCACCCACCAATCCGCACTGGGCCAGCGCGGTGGGTGGGGTTCAAGAAAATAAAATTACTGAAAGTGCATGCAATAGCCTTTATATTGGCCCAATTTCCCTATTCCATCCATAGGGAAGGCCTGTGCCCCAGCAGTGGGGACATTAATAGGCTGATGATGATGATGATTGGGTGATTCTGACATGAGTAAACTATAAACTTAAAAATGGTTGCAACCAAACATATTGGCCAGCACGATGGTAAGCGGCCGTCATGGCCTAGACGATTGCGATATCATGGTACGTTTACACGCTTGCCAAGCCTTGGCAAGCCTCGACAATCGCAAGCATGTAAAAAGGGCGTTTGGCTTGGCTTGCGTGAGCTTGTGGGTGCTTGCTTACGATCCAGTCGAGTGTCGGTTTTTTTACGCAGATCAAAGGGCGTTTGCGGCAAGCGCTTGCGACGTATTTACATGTTGGTCCGCGTTTAGTAGCCATTGTGATCTCGCGGCGAGTACACAATTGCTTAATTATACAAAAAAAATAAAAAATGAGTGGCTGGTCGAATGAGCAGAGTCTTTCGTTTCTGGAACATTACCAGATGGAATCCTGCATCTGGAATCCGAAAGATACAAATCATAAAGATGGAGTCATTTGTCGGACCTAACTATAAAAAAAAAAAAAAAAAAAAAAAAAGATAAGAAGAAACAAGCAGATGCATGGATTCGTCTTGCTGACCTAACCGGAAGGCCAGTAAAGGAAATAAAAAATAAAAATTGTCATATAATCTACATATAATTGCCAAGTTTTAAGTAAATCTGATTGCTTAATATATAATCTGGCCGTTAGGCAAAATCGAGTCCAAACGAGTCAGTTACATAAATACAAACAAACAAACATAAAGGTGAAACTAATAAAAGTCTCAAGAAAATATAACTAGAAAAAATTAAAACACGGCCCAGGCAGCAGACGGGACTCGAACCCGCACCCCTCGCAATCCGTGCGAATGCACTGACCAATTATGTTACCTTGGCCCTTACGGACCGCGTCGAAATTCTTCTAGCCATTCTTAAGCTGCAAGGCAGTGCCATTTCCTCGCATTAAAGACAACCCACAATGTCAAATGGCGAGGGGTGCGGGTTCAAGTCCCGTCCGCTACCTGGTCCGCGTGGAATCTTTTCTAGTTATATTTTGATTTAAACATCAAGCAGCAACATGCTCTAAAATAATAAAAATTATAATAAAAGCGTGTTAAAAAAGAAGATTTATATAACTAAAGACTAGGCTGTATGGTCATTGTTCCCTTTGCCTTTCCTAAATAGGAAGAATCTTGAAAAAATCAGGCGCAGTCAAAGCAGTCATTCGTGCTTGCTTAGCGTTCGTGTTATAAATTAATTAATTAAAATTTTAATATAAATTATTTTAAACTTACATGTAAATATGTGAATTGACCTAAATATTACTTTCTACTCGAGTTTAAACCTTCACATTGTCACAAAGAAGTGGTTTACTACTTAACTAATAATATTCAAAACTTCTCAGAATTTTTACTTCGCTCGGTCAGCTAAAGTCCATCAAACTTTTTTTATTGTAACAGTAAACCTGTAATGTGCTCATCAAATATATCGTCGAATATTGCTGAGGTAAGATTTGCTACTTACGTATGGATCAAACTGATAAACTGCCTACCTGCATCATAATTATAGTTGAAAAGAATTTAGAAAATACCTTCAAAATAACATTTAAAAAAAATATTTAACAAAACTTCTTTATTCCAGCGCCACAACTGTAAAACAAAAAAGATATTCTGCGGAATGGCTACCAACATACTGAAACATGTTTTTCTTCTGTTTCGGACATATCTTGACATGTTAATTGATGTTGTTTTCGGCTTCTTGTTTGATGGTAGAAGAAAAGCTATTCCTGATTTGGAGAAAAAGCACAACATATTAACTGAGAGTGCTGTCACACTTGCAGCCAAAATCAGGAACAAAGAACTTACATCAGAGGCGTTAGTGGCGGCTTGCATCGAACGTATTAAACAAGTAAGTTGCGCTGACAAAACCTTTTCATCATAAAATTCTAGTTTTAGCCATAGCTAATTAAACTACAGATATTGTTCTACTATGATGCCTGTTCTGTGGTTGCAAAAATCTCTGTTACACCACAACACAGATTAAAGCAGATCATATGTGACCCCAATTTTAAAATATTCACTCGTCAAGGGATTCCGGGGAGTCTGTACCTACTATGTGGGCTGGTGCAGGCGAGGATCCGGACTAATTCCTCACCATCAGATACGTTGAAGCGTAAAGCTATCAAATATGGTAAAATATGTCAAGGTATTAATGGAATACCTCTAAATCTGGCCCTGGCTGTACATGTTGGTTACCAGGGTTGTGTACTTTGCTATCATTATTATTGTATTTCATTTCAGGTGAATCCTATACTGAATGCTGTTATAGATGAGAGGTTTGCAGATGCACTGAAAGATGCAAAAGTAACTGATGAAAGAATTGCTGAGGGGCTCCCTGAAGAATACTTCAAAGAAAAACCATTCTTAGGTAAATATAATAAGGAATCTTTTTGAAACATCACCCTTTTTTAACATATTTGGCTAGAAAAACTGCTGTAATTAAATAAATAAGGTATTATGAACAAGTTCATTTCCCATTATAAATTATGGCATAACAGTGTGCATATATAGTTATTTTAAATAGTATTTATAGATCATAAATTATACTGCATTGAGCAGTTGTTTGTCAAGTTTTTCTCTACCATTGTATGGTAATTCATAGCCAGTTTGAACTGTATAGGGCAATTATTGTAAAATTTCATTGCAAATGCAACTTTACCGACTAAGATAAACAGTCTCTTGTACAGCTCCAGCCAAAATAGAAAAACTGCATGTTTACTTAAATAATTTTTAATTGTAGTTAGTTTGTTACTTTGTGGCCATGAGTATTATTAGTAATATTATCGCCATAAAACTATGTACATTAAATAAGCAAGAACATTATTGATGTAAATTGATGTAAACACACTTAAACATTTTTGTCATATTTACGATGCCCATGCAATACAGGCACGAAATGTTTGAAAATCTAGTGATCTAGAGCATTTAAAATTCAACCAATACAAAAAAAATATAAGTATCTCATGTGCCTTCCAGGTGTTCCATTTTTATGTAGATGGTCGCAACTTTCAGGCCTACTCTCTAAAAGACGTACAATAAGTATATATTTCGCATTTTTTCACGGAGCTCTGCGGCATCTGCAACGGTCCGCATGTGACGATGAACCAAAAAGTGCTTGAGTGGATTTCAAGCACATATTTTGAGCGCTCGTGGTGTATCTAGGGTTATTTAATATCGTTGGTTGCTCGTGTTTGACCACTTGCTTACATTACAAGCGCAAGCGTTTTAGGTATTATTCGAGTAGTGATATCTTTCATTCTAGGCAGTCTGCTATTTAATCAAAAGACGTTGTTTTTATTTTTTAGCATTTGACTGCTAGATGATTAAATCTAAAGAATAGTTTACAAGAAAAAAAATCTACGCGGACCAGGCAGCAGACAGGACTCGAATCCGCACCCTTCGCTATCCGGGCGAATGCACTGACGGCCGTGTCGAATTTTCTCTAGCCTTAGGCTGCAAGACAACGCCACCTCTTCGCATTGTAGGTAACCCACAATGTGAAATGAATACTTTTACAAGTATTAAACATTTGAAAGAAGAAATAGCAAATGTTTTTATTATTTTTATATGCTACCGCGGCCCAGACGGCCGCGACGAATTTTCTCTAGCCTTAGGCTGCAAGACAGTGTCACCTCTTCGCATTGTAGGTAACCCACAATGTTAAATGATTACTTATACAAGTATTTAACATTTGAAAGAAGAAATAGCAATTATAGTTAATTATGTTTTTATGTTTTTTAAAAGAAAAAACTTTATCATCATATTTAAATGGGTTAAGGGGCAGTTTGTAACTTCTCTTTTGCCTCCTTCAAACAATTCGAATTTCTCTTTCGTCTCCCAGGCGTTCCTTTTACTGCCAAAGAGAGTCACGCGGTCGCAGGCTTGCTCAACCCGCTGGGTATAAGGGCGCGTGCATACGTGCGCGCGCACGAGGACGCGGAATGCGTGCGCTTGTTGAAACAAGCGGGCGCTATACCGCTAGCTGTCACCAACGTTCCCGAGATCAACAAATGGTGAGTATGGCAAAAATAAAATTTTCTATAGATTCAGGTAGTCGCCTGAATCTATAGAAAATTTAGCGCAGTTTCGACTCGCGCATGACCTGCTTTTTTATGTACGAGGGATGGCAAACAGGATTATGTTCCTCCTAATGCTAAGCGGCTGCCATAGCCGTAGACGCTGGCGAAATCGGAGTATAACTCGCGTGTTTCCGTCTAAGACCTTATGAGCAGCGCTATTGAGCCCCGGAAATCACATTAGGTCCTCACACTAAAATCCCAACACTAAAAGTAAAATAAATGTGACACTTAGATTTGTTGTGTAGCTTTCAACGATCTCCGTGGTCGAGTGGTATATTATACATATTTGTTTCTTAGGTTTTCACGCACATCACTCATTAAATATAGCTACTTTTTACGAGTTAATGCACGAAACTTTATTTATTTATTGACGTTTCGTAGCCTTTACAGGCTACGTCGTAGTAATAAAAGTTTGACTCTGACGACGTAGCCTGTAAAGGCTACGAAACGTCAATAAATAAATAAATTTTTCGTGCATTTACCCTTAAAAACTAGTGGTATATTATACGCCGGGTTTCTAAGTTTCGCCTACTTGTGAGGTCCCGGGTTCGAATTCAAATTTCGGGTAGGAGCAAATGGATGGATACGACCATTTGTACCCTAGTCATTGATGTTCATTTTAATTTTTCGGGAAGTATTATCAGTATAATGTAAAAAAGTTAATTAATACTAGAAAAAAATCCACGCGGACCAGGCAGCAGACGGGACATTCGCCCGGATAGCGAAGGGTGCAGGTTCAGTGGGCCAATCGCCTAACCAGATTGCTTTGGAAAACGCTATCGCTTACGATTTCATTTTGTTATTTCTAACCGCCGAAATACCTCACGCTCATTTTCTTTAACATTGTTATTACCAATGCAAAAGAAAAAAAAAGAGCGCGAGGCATTTGAAAACCTCAGGGGGCTAGAAATAACAAAATGAAATCGTAAGCGATAGCGTTTTCCAAAGCAATCCAGTTAGGCGATTGGCCCCCAGGTCCCGTCTGCTGCCTGGTCCGCGTGGTTTTTTTTCTATTTTTATTTTTAAGATTTAAACGTCGAGCTAAATGCTTAAAAAAACAATATAACCAATAGAATGCAGTAGGTATAATGTATTGTATTCGTTATATTGTTTTAAAATTTTCATGGTCACTAACATTATAATAATACAAGTTATTTACGGAATTGCTACCATGTACCTTGTTTTTAGCGAGTTTCCGATATTTCGGCACTGTTGCAAGCGCCATAATCATGGAGTAACTGAAGCAATTGCGGGTAGCCTGTTATTGGCAGACATATCGGTCTACCCTCCGACGAAGTCTTTTATTGCGTTCGATACCCTTACCACTGTTCACATTCTCACTATTCACTCGAAACCGTTCTCGACACACAACATTTACAGTACCGGATCGCGACACGACACTTTTTTGATTATTTCCTGTTTTATAAATACGAACTCGACCAAAACTCTCTAAAAACAAGGTACATCGTAACAATCTCGTAAATAACTTATATTTCTATTTGTTACCCTAGCATCCCATAAAACCCGTCTTAAAGTGCTTACTTTGGGGCTAGGCTAATTGGTCCGAGAGTGTAGGAAATATATCTGTCTTCAGGCAGGAGACTCGCAACATGTTGTTTGGTCAGACCAACAATCCTTACCACACGGGGCGCACTACAGGCGGCTCCAGCGGGGGCGAGGCAGCCCTAGCTGCCTGCTACGCCTCGCCTATATCACTCTGTACGTATCCATAGACAACAATAAAGAATGTACACTACCCTTAGCACGAACCAATATCGAATTCGAATAGTTTACGAATCATTATCATCATTAGCCTATTAATGTCCTACTGCTGGGGCGCAGGCCTTCCCTATGGATGGAATAGGTAAATTGGACCATGACCCAACACGCGGGCCCAGTGCGAATTGGCGGGTGCTAACTACTGCAGATGCAGCCGGGACCAACGGCTTAGCGTGCCTTCCGAAGTACGGATGAACTCGAGATACAAGATTTTTGGTCACCCATCCAATGATCGACCATTGCGAAAGTTGCTTAACTTCAACGATCACAGCCGAAGGCGCTAGCCACCTGCGCCATCGCTCCTCAAAGTTAACGAATGCGAAATGGCATTTTCAAAGTTTAGATGGAAACTAACAGCAGCGCCACACACATTTGATGTATAAAATAGATTGAATTCAACTATTCAAATTCGATAATAGTTTGCGCAAGGGGTACTGTACAATAAATGCATGAAATCGATAAACAGTCGAGACTCTTCCATCATACATTTCGCCGAGGTCTGCTGAGGAATTTCTCAAATTAGGGTCCCTACTACTGGGGCACAGGTCTTCCCTATGTGTGGAATTGGGAAAATCGGTCACGTGGCTTCCAACGTGTGCGAATCGGTGGGTGTTGACGACTGCAGATGTAACCCATCCGTCGACTGACTTAACATGCTTCTGGAGTACGGAGGAGCAAGGTCGTAAATAATTGTGAGCGTCAGAATGGCCGGTCACTACCCATATGCTCACATGCCATCTTGTGCACAATGATAGCCCACTTGTGTAATTTGAGTTTCTCGACAGGCATTTTTCTAAGCATATTTAAGAAAGCTGTTGTTGTTCCGATTTATAAAGGCGGCGACGCGAAATCGGTATCGAACTACAGACCAATATCACTACTTAGCACAATTAGCAAAATTATCGAAAAGACCTTTAACATCAGACTGGTAAAATTTCTTGAACATAAAAACATATTAGCTGGCTCACAATACCGCTTCCGATCAGGTAGAAGCACTGAGGATGCAGTATCTGTACTGTCGGGGTTAGTCACTAAAATACTTGACGACGGCGAGCGATGTGTAGGCATCTTTCTAGATCTCAAAAAAGCGTTCGATACCGTTTCCATACCGCTACTCATGTCGAAGCTTGAAAACTTGGGCATTCGTGGGCCCGTATTGGAATGGCTTTGTGACTACCTCACAGGCAGAAGCCAAGTTGTTCGAGTGGGGAGTGTTTCCAGCTCTGAGTCACCAGTAATGTATGGTATACCCCAGGGAAGCACTCTTGGCCCTACACTGTTTCTAACCTACGTCAAGGAACTCTGCAACCTTAAACTTGATAATGGCAATATTCTGGCGTTCGCGGACGATACTGCGCTAATTTTCAAAAATAGAACTTGGGCATTAGTTGAAAGGTCTGCTGAAAATGGACTAAGGAAAGTCATAAAGTGGATGGATAACAATCTGCTGACAATTAATATACAAAAAACAAAATATGTATGTTTTAGAATCTCTGAGGCTACTAAGCCACCAATCCACTTCACTATTAAAGCCCATTCATCCTTGTGTGACCTAGAAATTACTTGCAATTGTGAACTCCTAACGCAAACAGATGACCACAAATATCTAGGTGTAATAGTTGACAAGAACCTAAATTGGCACCCACAAGTAACAGCGATAAGCAAAAGGATAAGGAAACTCCTTCCCATTTTTAGGAGCCTCAGAGATGCCGCCGACCACAAGCTAATTCGTAAAATTTATTTTGCCCTCTGCCAATCTCTTCTGATATACTGTGTTACGGTGTGGGGTGGAGCAGCTGCCTCTTTTCTCCTGGAATTAGAAAGGGCTCAGAGAGCTGTGATCAAAGTTATGTTCTGTAAGCCTAGAAGATATCCAACCAAACAGCTCTACGAGGAAACTGGGCTTCTCACTGTTCGACAGTTGTTTATATACAACTCGGTTCTCCGCTACCATAAAACCATGGATCCTACGCAGCTGCCCCTAAATAAAAGACGCATTCGTACTCCTGTCCCAAATTGTAGAACAGGGTTTACTAGACGACAAGTACACTTCATAAGTCCATTTTTATATAGATATTACAATGATTTAAACAGCATTATTAAACTAAATAGAATTAATCTTAAAACTGCACTTCAAAAAAGTTTAAAAACGCTAGATTATAAAAATACAGAAACGATATTCAAAATAATAAGTTAAACATTATAAGATGCACACACACACACACACACACACACACACACACACACACACACCCAGACCCACACACTCATACACCCACAGCCACACACACATACACATACACACACTCACACACATAACAAACTCCTTTGGCTATTCCATTGAATTAATAACTTAAGAACAGTTATCTGGATTAATAAATTGTTTTCTAAATGGTACACAACTTTATGAATAGGGTGGAGGGTTGATTACCTGAGACACAGGATTCATCCTAGTTCAGGTGTCAACCCACCATAATCTGATCAATACGTACCTTTTATTTTTGGTAAAAAAAAATGCATGCTTTTTATATCATTGTTTTTATGTAGCCATTAATACCAACATTGTGATTATGGTGAGAAATAAAGGTTATTATTATTATTATTATATTTTACATCGAAATAATAATAGAAAGTTGCTACCTAGTTGCTTCTAGTTGCTACTAATCGTTAAATAGTTGCTACCCCCGATTAAAATAAATTAAACTACTTTTTAGGGTGACCAGCCATTCTGACGTCAGAATGGCTGGTCACCTATCCAGTGAAAACAAACTGCGAAACTAAATGGAGATTTTTTTTAAAGCAATAATTGCTACTAGGTTGCTACCTTGCGTGTGACGTCATTTTAGTGTGAGCCAATCCTCTTTTTTTCTTTTTATGATTTTTGATTCCCTTTTTTTTACGACGTGTCCGTGATATTTTTCATTACATCCATGTGTGTGTGTGTGTGTTAACAAATCGTGAAATGTACCATTTCAATATTTGTCAACACATTTTGTAGCTTTATTTTGATTTCGATGCAGTTTACTGGTAGTATTTTATTTAGATTTAAACATTTTCCAGCTTTTCGAAATGCCTACTGTATAAACTGTAGACAGAATAAATAATGGTTTGTACAATCCAGGTTCTGACATCGGCGGATCGACTCGAATGCCGGCGTTCTACTGCGGTCTTTTCGGCCTCAACCCCACAGCTGGACACTCCAGCTTGAAAGGTCAGAGCTAATTTATTTATGGAGAGTGTGATTCAAACAGTGGCGGACTAACAGGGGGGCGGAAGGGGCGACCTGCCCCGGGCCTTCGATCTTGGGGCCCCCAAATGCCTCCGCATTCCCCTGATCAAATCCTAAACCAGACTTTAAAAATGTGTTTAGTACCTACATAATTTCATCAAGATCAAAACTACAGACATCTAGACTTTTTACGCGGTACTAATATTCTTTTAACTTCGCTGAACGCGTCCAATACGCTGGGGGAATTCCCGTCTCTGTAGCGAGTACATCCTCAGGTATCCCTGAATGAATGAAGTACAAATAATTCACTCTTGTACGCCTACATTTAATAACATTCACTATAATTACGTCGAAAAATAAACATTGGCCTCATTTAAAATCCGTTCAAAGTAACCTCATTAAAAAGTGTAATAGTGTTTTTGATTTTTGTTGCGGTATAAAAGAAAATGACTTTAGAGTTGAGTTAGTGCATTTTTAAGTATTTGGAAAAAGTAAGTAATTCTTTGTATTATTTAGCCTAGAAATCAAAATCCGTACTTTCTAGTCAATATGCACCTACGTTTCTAGTCAATATGTACCATATTGTAGGTATGTATGTTTATTTAGCCGAAATAATTTAATTGGAATTTAAATTTCATTTGCCAGATTTTAACGAAACAAACTAAGCAACTACATTTTTTTTAAAGCTTTGTCGAGCTTAGTCCGCCACTGGATTCAAACCTACGGTCGTGAAGTTAGCGCAAGTTACGCCGCAGTAAATGAAATGTAAAGAAAACACAATCAATTAATGACATAAACATTATCGGTCTTATTACAAAACATTTTGGACACGGTTTCAATCCTTGTTTAGGCAAATTTTGTATACCATTTTATCTTAAACTCGCGTTGAACGCGTGTCTAACTTTTTTGTGGTAATGAGGTATGACTTTTTGACTGAAGAAGTGAAAGGGTCCAGTTTCGGGCTATGGGCGACCAGTAGTAATATTTTTTTCTCAAGAAGGGTTATGAAAAATTTGTGTGCACGGAGTGAAACTTGTTTTCTTAATACTATTAGCAATAATTTCATAGATTCGCCTACTCGATAGGTCCCGGGTTCGAATCCCGGTGGGGGCAGATGTCATTGCAGCATTTGTACTCCAGTCATGGCTGTTAAATATGTATTTCTTTCTAAATATACTTATATATGTATGAGGAACTCGAGCAGGCTGTCAGCGCGTTCGGCTGCGATCGTTGAAGTTAAGCAACTTTCGCAGTGGTCGGTCATTGGATGGGTGACCAGAAATCTTCCATTTCGAGTGCCTCCGTGCTTCGGAAGGCACGTAAAGCCGTTGATCCCGGCTGCATCTTTAGTCGTTAGCACCCACCAATCCGCACTGGGCCCGCGTGGTTGGTCATGGCCCAATCTCCCTATTCCATCCATAGGGAAGGCCTGTGCCCCAGCAGTGGGGACATTAATAGGCTGATGATGCTGATGTATGACTATATGTATTCTATCCTTTACCCTATTATCTCATAACACAAGCCTACAGTGCTTACCTTGGGGCTAGGCTAATTAGTGTGTGTTGGAAATATTGATTTATTATTGATGTGAAACTTGGCGAACGTAAATCCGATTTCTGGCGTGGCGACACCTTAGATTAAAACAAAAAGGGTAGATATGGTATGCTCATACTTGCATCAAACAAAAACTGATCCCACGGCAGCTCGAACGGGACGGCGAGATCCGCGTCACTGCATTACCGACCCGAACGAAACAGCACGTTAAGTTTCAACGGCAGCGCGAACGAGACGGCGAGATCCGCGTCACTGCACTACCGACCAATCACACGACCAGTACTCGACGTCACTACCGAATAAGATTCTAAACAAACAGCAATTTTTATGAAAAAATATATTTTATAGTACTTACGAATGAACACTCTCCCGTAAAATGCAATATATACCAGTACTCAACTTCTCGCCGATCAGTACTTAGTAGTAATTTTTTACCGCGCGCATCCCGAGTAATTCTCCGAGTGTATTTATCGTAAGCCGGCTAGTGTTTCACATCTGCCAGGCGTCTCACATTTTTTTTTATTCATAACTTTAAGTTCGTGTTTTCTAGGATCCGCGTTGCGTACTGGCGAACATCCCACCATAGCGTCCATAGGTTTCCTTAGCAAGCACTGCTCAGATCTGGCTCCTTTATCCCAACTAGTATGCACCGGCATCGACTTTAACAAACCCGTCGACATCAAGGTACGTTTCTGAATATATATGTCACTATATCTAGTGCGATTACAACATATAGCGTCCATAGGTTTCGTCAGCAAGCACTGCTCAGATCTGGCTCCTTTATCCCAACTAGTATGCACCGGCATCAACTTCAACAAACCCGTTGACATCAAGGTAAGTTTCTGAATATATATGTCACTATATCTAGTGCGATTACAATATATAGCGTCCATAGGTTTCGTCAGCCAGCACTGCTCAGATCTGGCTCCTTTATCCCAACTAGTATGCACCGGCATCGACTTCAACAAACCCGTCGACATCAAGGTCGGTGTCTACATATATATGTCACTATATCTAGTGCGATTACAACATATAGCGTCCATAGGTTTAGTCAGCAAGCACTGCGCAGATCTGGCTCCTTTATCCCAACTAGTATGCACCGGCATCGACTTCAACAAACCCGTCGACATCAAGGTCGGTGTCTACATATATATGTCACTATATCTAGTGTGATTACAACATATAGCGTCCATAGGTTTCGTCAGCAAGCACTGCGCAGATCTTGCTCCTTTATCCCAACTAGTATGCACCGACATCGACTTCAACAAACCCGTCGACATCAAGGTCGGTGTCTACATATATATGTCACTATATCTAGTGTGATTACAACATATAGCGTCCATAGGTTTCGTCAGCAAGCACTGCGCAGATCTTGCTCCTTTATCCCAACTAGTATGCACCGGCATCGACTTCAACAAACCCGTCGAAATCAAGGTCGGTGTCTACATATATATGTCACTATATCTAGTGTGATTACAACATATAGCGTCCATAGGTTTCGTCAGCAAGCACTGCGCAGATCTTGCTCCTTTATCCCAACTAGTATGCACCGGCATCGACTTCAACAAACCCGTCGACATCAAGGTAAGTTTCTCAATATATATGTCACTATGTCTAGTGCGATTACAACATATAGCGTCCATAGGTTTCGTCAGCAAGCACTGCTCAGATCTGGCTCCTTTATCCCAACTAGTATGCACCGGCATCGACTTCAACAAACCCGTCGACATCAAGGTCGGTGTCTACATATATATGTCACTATATCTAGTGCGATTACAACATATAGCGTCCATAGGTTTCGTCAGCAAGCACTGCGCAGATCTTGCTCCTTTATCCCAACTAGTATGCACCGGCATCGACTTCAACAAACCCGTCGACATCAAGGTAAGTTTCTGAATATATATGCCACTATATCTAGTGCGATTACATCATATAGCGTCCATAGGTTTCGTCAGCAAGCACTGCTCAGATCTGGCTCTTTTATCTCAACTAGTATGCACCGGCATCGACTTCAACAAACCCGGCGACATCAAGGTAAGTTTCTGAATATATATGCCACTATATCTAGTGCGATTACAACATATAGCGTCCATAGGTTTCCTCAGCAAGCACTGCTCAGATCTGGCTCCTTTATCCCAACTAGTATGCACCGGCATCGACTTCAACAAACCCGTCGACATCAAGGTAAGTTCAAGTAAGGACCAACGGCCTTACGTGCCTTCCGAAGCACGTGATAATAAATTTTTGGTCACCTATCCAATAACCGACCTCTGCGAAAGTTGTATATCTTCAACGATCGCAGCCGAGTGCGCTTACCACTTGCGCCATCAAGTTCCTCTATTAAATATACTACTTCTATATAAATATACTTATATATGTACTAGCTGAGCCAGCAAACTTCGTATCGCCATAAAAATATGGGTGGTACAAGGGTGAAAATTTAGTGTTGTAAGTATTTTTGTATGATCAATCATAAAAAAATAAAAAATCCAAATAAAAAAAAATTAATGGTGGACCACCCTTAACATTTAGGGCGATGAAAAATAGATGTTGTCCGATTCTCAGACCTATTGAATATGCATATAAAATTTCACGAAAATCGGTTGAGCCGTTTTGGAGGAGTTCAATTACGCACACAGTGACACGAGAATATTGTATCCGCACCCTAGTATTCCATAACACAAGCATTACAATCCTTACTTTGGAGCACTAGGCTATCTGGTATGTGTAAAAAAAAATAGAGAAGGCCTGTGCCCCATCAGTTGGGACATTAAAAGAATGACGTTGAATTGCAGCCTAATTAGGTCTCGGTAGTAAAGCAATCAGTACCCCTAGCACGAACCATTATCGAATTTCAATAGTTTGCAAACCGAAATGTCAATGTCAAATTTTGTATGGAAACTTGAACAGCAGCGGCACAAAGTACGTAACGAGAAAACTAAAAATCAGTACACATTTGACAATGACATTTCGGACTCGCAAACGATACGAATTCGATATTGGGTCGTGCTAGGGGTACAGTGCATTCACACGGATAGCAAAAGTAGCTGTTTTAAATCCAGCCTGACATTTTAATCGAGTGGATTTTTTCTTGTAATTTTTTCTTTAGAATTCGAAATGTATGTATGGATATGATTATTATTGACGCCTGTTTGTTTGCAGAACGTGAAATATTTCTACACGGAGACAGCTAAGGACCTGCGAGTCAGCCCCATCAGTAAAGAACTCAGGCAGGCTATGATCAGGTAAAACACAATATAATCTATAAGGAAGAAAAATTACATGATAAAATTATCCCTATGTTTTATATTTTTTGTTTTTTCTAGTCATTTAACCGCTAGAGGTATAAATCTAAAAAAAAAATACCAGAAAAAAGAAATGGACCACGTGGATTTTTTCTAGTAAAATTTTCTTTAAGAAGTTACTATAGTTTAACGTAGCATTGTGGGTTACTCAGGCGGCTAGAAATAACAAAAGGAAATCGTAAGCGTTAGCGTTTTCCAAAGCATTTCCGTTAGGCGAATGGCCCCCTGGTCCGCGTGGAATTTTTTCTAGTAAAAATTTCCTTAAGATTTGAACATCCAGCAGTTAAATGCTTAACAAAAATATAACTATGAATAAATGATTTCGAATATGAATTTTCAATCTCTTAGGGTGGTGAAAAAGCTGTCTGAAGACACCTCGGTTCCTCTCCATCAGTATTACCACAATGGGCTCGAACATATGGCGTCACTATGGCGACACGCCATGACAGGGGAGGTTGACAGTTTCCCAGCACTCCTGGCCAATAACCAAGGGGAGGCCAATGGACTACTGGAGTTGGCGAAGAAGGTATAAATAAATATTTCCAACTCTCACACCAATTAGCCTAGCCCCAAAGTAAGCACTGTGAGGCTTGTGTTATGGGATACTAGGGTAACGGATAGAATACATATACAGAACATATATAAGCATATTTATATAGAAACTAGCTGACCCAGCGAACTTCGTACCGCCATAGAAAAAGGGGCTGGTGGTAGAAGGGTGAAAATTCAGGGTTATATGTATTTACTAATGCTGTATCATAAAAAAAATAAAAAAAAATATCTAAAATTGAAAAAAAAATTAAGGGGTGGATTACCCTTAACATTTAGGGGGATGAAAAATAGATGTTGTCCGATTCTCAGACCTACCCAATATGCACACAAAATTTCATGAGAATCGGGGAAGCCGTTTCGGAGGAGTTTAACCACAAACACCGCGACACGAGAATTTTATATATTAGATACATATTGAACATCCGTGACTGGAGTACAAATGCTCGTAATCATCACAAACATCTGCCCCCACCGGGATTCGAACCCGGGACCTCTCGAGTCGGCGACACCATGAAACCCGGCGTACAAACCACTCGGCCATGGAGGTCGTCAAATGGGGGTAAATTACAAGTCTTATCGTTAAAAGCGATTTCTTCCAGACAACCTTTGGATGGATAGGATTGGAAGAAAGCTGGTGTCGACTGTCGGTAAAAGAAACGAGGGTATAAAAGAATTTATGGATCGTATGTATCATCATCAGCCTATTAATGCCCTCACTGCTGGGGCACAGGCCTTCCCTATGGATGGAATAGGGCGATTGGGCGATGGCCCACCACGCGGGCCCAGTGCGGATTGGTGGGTGCTAACGACTGCAGATGCAGTCTGGACCAATGGCTTAACGTGCCTTCCGAAGCACGGAGGAATTCGAGATAGAAGATTTTTGGTCACCCATCGAATGACCGACCACTGCGAAAGTTGCTTAACTTCAACGATCTCAACCGAACTCGCTAACTCCTCCATCCATGACGTGTTAGGCATTATTGCAACAGTGGCATTTTGCATTTCAGGCACTATGCTCATAACCACTAAACTATGACAGAAGGTTGTACATATATAGTTATACTATCCCGCTGTCCCAGCGAATTTCGTACCGACATAAAAAATAGGGGTTGGTTATATGATGTGCCTGCCTGGTCCGCGTGGATTTTTTTCTAGTAAACTTTTCTTTAGATTTAAACATCTAGCAGTTAAATGCTTAAAAAAATAAATAAAATCATAACTATAATTGCTATTTCTTCTTTCAAATGTTTAATACTTGAAAAAGTATTCATTTGACATTGTGGGTTACCTTCAATGCGAAGAGATGGCGCTGCCTTGCAGCTTGAGGCTAGGAAAATTTCGACGCGGCTAATAGGGCCGTGGTAGCATAATGGTCAGTGCATTCGCCCGGATAGCGAAGGATGCGGGTTCGAGTCCCGTCCGCTGCCTGGTCCGCGGTAATTTTTTTCTAGTAAACTTTTCTTTAGATTTAAACATCTAGCAGTTAAATGCTTAAAAAATAAATAAAATCATGATTAATACTTCATTAACAAAGAGAAAATCGGTTAATTTGTACTTTTATTTAAGTGTTTTTTTTTTGTTTGTTAAATTGTTGGAATTAGATTTTTTTTTGTGTAAACTTCAGCCCATAAAATTTTATCAAGTTATGCCTACATATTTAGAGTTACAGTTTTGGTTTTAAATTATTGTAATTGCTTTGTTTTTTTTTTAATATTTTATTGTAACTTGTTTTGTGAGGTAATAAATAAAAAAAAAATATAGATTTATCTTTTTTGTCCAGTTGGTAGGCGTGTCGCAGTTCACCCTGGCGGCCATTATGAAACTGTTGGACGAGCAGGTGATGCCGGCCACTGACCGCAAGTGGGCGGATAAACTAATCAAGGAGCTCGCTGACGACTTGACGGTATGTTGACTTTATTATATATTTTACTAGCGGCCCACCCTCGCTTCGCTTCGGTGTAGAGCTGAAGTGTAGACTACAGTTTTTGTTCTCGGGCTTGTATATACACAATGACATTCATCTATGTTTCTTCTTATACGTGCATGCAGTCTCAGCCCGATCGGTTTAAAATCTACAAAGTTTCAAACAAACTTTCATTCCCTATTTTATCCCCTTGGGGGTAGAATTGATCAAAATAATTTCTTAGCGGATGCCTACGACATAACATCTACCTGCATGCCAAATTTCAGCCCGATCCGTCCAGTGGTTTGGGCTGTGCGTTGATAGATCACTATGTCAGTCAGTCACCTTTGAGTTTTATATATATAGACTAGCTGTTACCCGCGGCTACGCTCGCGTGGTTTTCCTATTTGGGGCTATCGTCCTCTTTTGACATAGTGAGTAAAAAAGTAGCTTATTTCTATTAAAATTACGGCGCCTTTCTGCTTGAAGACGTACATTTAAATCTCTGCTCGCCTGTGCTTGTTCAGGTGTTTCGAATGACCTCAAAAAAGTCTTTGCTGAGTTTCAGCACGTGTTTCTGCAGCTCTTAAAGCAGTGTGACGCCCCGCTTGTTCAAGTAGTCTTTGTTGAGACTGAACATCGATTCAGCGGCTCTCAAATGAGCCTGCCGCTCTGTCTGCTCCTGAAGTCTTCTCAGGGTCTGCGCCAGTGATTCTAAGGCCCTCAAATTCGCTTGACGTTCAGACTGTTAAAGACGCCTTTCCTGTGTCTGCGATTGAGATTCTGAGGCCCTCAAAGCAGTTTGGCGATCTGCCTGTTCTTGCCTTCTCAGTTCAATTTCTTCAAGAGATTCTTGCGACCTAGTTAATCTCGTGCTTGAGAGGATACTCTATAAAGGCTAGATTTGCGTTTGCGCGTTTGCGTCACCGTAATAAGTGAAGGTATCTGATTTTTTTTTTATTAAAAAAATTACCTATTTTAATTACAACAGTATAAAAATGTTTTGTAAGCACCTAGTCAACTTGTTTATAGTAGGTAGGTATTTAAAATCCAAAAAAAATTACGAATAATTATCCATTCACCTATTTTCACAAAAACCCAAGATCAATGTGATAAGTTAATCGTCAAAGCGATTGCTTTTTAATATTCCTTTTTGATTTTTTAAATTTAATTATTATTATTTTAATAACAGATACTTAACATATATTATGTAGGTATGTAGATAGGTCATTCGTATTTTATTAAAATCAAGGTATTTACCTATCTAGGTACCTGCCGAAATAGTATGCGCACTTAGTAGATAATGTAGGTAGGTACCAATCAAGGTAGGTAGGTTACCTATCTACAAAGGTATCTACCAAATAGGCAGCCCTTCTTTCAGAGCAACAAAACCAATCAAAAACTACAATACCATATTATTACAAAAACCAATACCTACCTATGCGTTGTCTATCTTACTGGTAAAAATCGAGGTAGGTAGATTTTAATATAATAATCGTAATTTATATCAGTGAGCCAATTTTATACATTCGAAGAAACTACCAAAATACCTACCTAATTCATTTAATGCACAACAAAACCAAATCACAAAGGAAAACAATACAGATATGTAGGTAGGTAGGTACCTTGTAGACATGGGCGTTTTTGGTTTTGAACGCAAACGGATATTTATCGGATTTCAGATTTCAAAATCGATTTTAAAATCCGTTTTTAGATATCCGATTTCAGATGTGCTGAACTTAGCCAATTCACTAGTTTGTGTTATGATTTGGTTTTATTAGCTAACGACAATCACAAACAATTAATTGTAGGAAGCAAGGATACTCGTAGATATTCGCGATTTTCCTTCATGCTTTAAATCTAGGCTTAGGACTAGCAGAAAAGTTATGTTTACGGTTAAGAGTAAAACTTTTGCGGCGCATTTAAAAATCGGCTTTTATACAATGATTTATTTTTACATATTTTTTAGTATTTTTATTTGTTATTCTGTTTGTTTTTATTATATTTCAAACCATTTACAAAATCAAACCTAATTACTTCAGGTTAGCGTCCAAAAATGTAAGTTGCTCGACTTTTGATGTTTTTAGACGACATATCTTTTCAGTGATAAATAATCCCGCCTCAGAGAACAGCAATAGATTTCCGTAAACAGCAAATCGAAATCGGAGTTCCGAGCACGAAATCTGACTTCCGAAAACGAAAGCACGAATTTCGAATCCGATTTAGATTTGGATACTTGTGGTATTTGGTTTTGGTTTGGTTAGATTTCTGAAATCGGATTTTCTTGTTGAGAAATCGTTCGGTATCGATTTGTGTTTGAAATCGGATTTTGGATTCGTTTTGATATATCGGACGCATGCCTAGTACCTTGGTAAATCGTATTTCTTTAAAATCTATCAAGGTAGGTAGGTACCTACTGCTTGCTGTTGCTTACCTGCTGAAATAGTAAGCACTTATCACCACCACGTTGATTCTTCTCTAATAGCACAGATAACAGAATACTATTAAAAACAATAAATATAAAAAAGTAATGTTCATGAATAGCGCCATCCGAAAAACCTCAAATTTGTAGTGCAAGTAAACTCGATTTTAATGACGGGTAGCGACATCTCTTCAGTTTCACACGCAACAGCTTGGTTTTCGAATTGTTATTCGTGTTGGTAGCGCCTACCTCTACTCAACATCCATGATCTATCTTCACTTGAAAATTATTGTATAATACTCGATTAAGGGACTAAAATAAATCATAACAGCTGTTTATTTAGTATCTGTCTACTGTAAACAGCTGATTATTTAATATCTATTTGATGTTTATAAGATTTTCTGGTAAAATATTAGGACACTGAAGGAAGTCGTTTTTTTTTACTAATATTGTTTTAATTAAAATATCTACCTACATCACGTTAAAATTAACAATAAATATTAAAAAGTCATGTTCATAAATAGCGCGATCTGAAAAAACGCAATATCACAACTCACATTTTTAAGCAATTAAAAATACTCATTTTAAAGACGGGTGGTGCCATCTATTAAGTTACTCAGAAAATATTATTTCCAGAGAGACTACTCGGTTGAGTTGGTATTCGAGATGGTAGCGCCATCTCTTATTATTATAAGCAACATCCATAATCTTTAATCACTCGAAAATGATATTTTTATATTATAATTTTAGAGTAGTATTTGCTTGATTTAATTTTAAAAATGAGATTAGAAAGAAATTGCGTAAAATTACCTCGATTTAATAAATGAAACACTAACACAAAATACTCGGTATTGAACACGAGTGGTGCCATCTCGTATTAAAATAGCAACTTCCACATTTCAAATTTAATCTGTCTTCGTGACAGTAGCGCCATCTCTATCGGGACCAACCATGAAAATGATTAATTTAGTTGAAAATTATGTAAATTCGAATACATAAATTAAAAAAAAGTAGCCTATAGCAGTCTCATAAGTTCAAGCTATACATATACCAAATTTCATCACAATCGGTTTAGCGGTTTAGGCGTGAAGAGAAGACAAACAAACAAACACACTTTCCCATTTATAATATTAGTATGGATTTAAGCACGCCTATTTGCTAACTTTTTTGACATTTACAGTGTGTAGCCTAAGAGAAAATTGTCTGATGCCCGGGCAGCGTGGATTTTTTCTAGTCAAACGTTTTGTTTAGATTAAAACATCTAGCAGTTAAATGCTTAAAAAAACTTGACTATAATTGCTATTTCTTCTTTCAAATGTTGTTGTATAGTTCAACATTAATCTGACTCCGAAGATAATTGGCTATATATTTAATATGTTATGCGTGAATTATAGAACCTGTTATAGAATAAACCTGACGGGATTGGTGTTTATGTGCGACTAGCTGGCGTCGACGCTTATATCAAGACAGCATTCTTAGAATCCAAGTCAAAAAAAATTTAAAATGACAAGTGCAACTGTCACTGATACAAAAAAGGGTGACCCGCTACAATAGTGATGTTTGGCAATCAATAGACTTAGACATTTAGTTATGCTTTATTTTATTAGGTATCAAAGCGTTTTTTTTATTGTAAATATGTAATACATACTATATGAAATAATATGATTTTAGAAATATGGATCTTACCAGCATATTGAAATTGCTCACTACAACATTATTACAAAAGCGGGAAAAAATGTTTTAAGAGATTCAGAGGAATTAAGTAAAACAATACAAGTCATTTTATACGTTTTTATTCATTACAGTTGATATTGAGTCCAACTCCGATTCTGAATCGGTATATTCAGAATCGAAATTAGTTACATTTATAATGAATGATTCCACACATTCATCTATGATGTGGTCGAGTTGCCACATTTTGTCTACAACTACACACATCAAAAGTGTCTAGGGATCAACATATATTTTTGCAATAACTTTTCTCCTGATTGATATTAATTAAAATTTTCTTTAAGGATTCATCAAATAAAGTGTTTTCGTTTGTCACAGTAACGATAAACCAAGTCACCTTTGCATTAATAAAGAAATTTGCCATTTTCCTAATAAAGGGATTTTTGACATTTGAACCACTAACACAAAAGTTCGAAAAAAAGACTGAAATAACAGTTTTCTCTAAAATTTTATTGGGTAACTTAAACAATTAATAATCCGTATTTCTACCGCGAACACTAACAACACAAGAACATCGGTTTGGCATACTCAAAATGAGTTCATCCAAATCACGCTGTGGAATGGCCGCCCATGTTCGTTGCAACAACAAAAAAAGGTCTTCTTGCGACTGGATACCCTCCATATTCGGCAGAGCTCTTCTCTGTAGCATATCCCATGCATGCTCAATCGGGTTCAAGTCTGGCGACTGAGCAGGCCAGGGCAGGACATTGATGTTAGCTGCGGCGAGAGTCTGTCTTACAACTCTTGCGGTGTGCGGTCGTGCATTATCATGCATTAACTGAAATAAGGGACCGATTTGCACTTGTAGAGGAACGATGACGTCTGATACAATCGTCTCAGCATAAATTTGAGCGTTGAGGTTGCCTCTGATCCAAATCAACTCAGTTCTTCCGCCGATCCAAATACCCGCCCATACCATGATGGTTCCACCACTATAAGGATGGACTTCCTGGCAGGATTTTAATCGCTGTTGGCGTCCAGGGGTTCTCCAGTGTCGTATACGTCTTGTATCCGGTCTCATACCAAAACGAGACTCATCAGAAAAGCACACGAAACGCCATTGTTCTTCTGCCCAATTTCTGTGTTCAAGAGCCCATTGATATCGAATCCTACGATTGTGCATTGCTATAGGTGGTACCCGTAGCGGTCTTCGGGAATGAAGGTTCACTTCATGCAAGCGGTTTCTGACTGTTTGGTCGCTAATTAAGTTCCCTGAAGAGTGATGAAGCCTCACGGCTAACATCATGGCGGTTATTGTTGGAGCTCTTCGAGTTAAGATTTGAATGTATCGGTCTTGTCTCCGTGTGGTGCAGCGATACCGTCCTCCATGGCGCTCAGCCACGGTACCAGTGCTTCGGTATCGTGTCCAAAGTCGACTGATAACACTCTGACTTGTATTCAGAGCTAAAGCCACAGTACGTTGCCGGGAACCAGCTTCTATCATTCCCACGGCTCTGAGCATTTCTTCCCTGCTTAAATGACGTCGCCGCTCCATAATAACGTTGGTTTTAATCAGTAGTAGGGAAACAGTAGCACTAATAATGTCTTCAATGCGTTGTATGTTTTTATAGGGAAAATATTGACAGCTGATTTTCATCTTTTACTCGAATTTGATTCACAGTTCCTGATTCAAATTATGAAATGCACCAAAAAGGATCCATATAAATTTATAAAATCATAAATTTATTACAAAGCCACATCTCAATCTCAAGAAATCCGCATAAAAATGCTTGATCCCTAGACACTTTTGATGTGTGTATTATGGCACGGTTGATGCACTGTCTCCAATTTTCAGATGTCACTCACTTCCTTCAGACCTTTTTTCAATTAACTTTTTTAACGTCTTTTATTTTAAAAGTTTTATTGTTCCTGGCTATTGAAACTCGATTCTACCACATCACTATATATTTATTTGGGACAAAAAACTTCCAACACTGGAAATGTCATTTTACTGACTGGAATTAATAATCGTACTATAGTAATATTTTCTTTACTTTATTGGTGTTTTTTTTTTTATTCTCAGGCTAAGCTCGGGTCAGATGGAGTGCTATTATTCCCCTCAGCACCGGCAGTGGCCCCGTACCATTACTCACTGCTACTGAGGCCGTATAACTTCGCCTACTGGGGCATATTCAACGCCATCAAGTTTCCCTCACTACAGGTGAGTTAGTCAACATTTCTTTAATCATAATCAAAATCATTTATTCAGTTTAGGCTGTTACAAGCACATATGAATGTCTAGAAGCTACGCCATCGATTCGTAAATCTACAGCGGGAGACCCTGTACTGAGAAGAACCGGCAAGAAACTCAGCATCAGCAAAGGCTGTATTTTTTTCTCCCTGTTTTATCATTTACAGAGTCGTCAAGTTGAAAAATGACTTCAGAGATGATTCTTGAAGTCACCTTTGATAACATAATGTGAAATTATACATTAATTGTTCACCTGCATTTTGATTGCTGTCACACAGTATAAATACAAATAGAGTTATTTATAATAGGTGTAGTTAAACATTTACATCTTAAATATCAAAGTAGTTAGAGCAGACTCATCTCCGCTGGCAGCACCCGTTCACGAGCATGACGCATGAACCAGCCATCGCTTCGTTCAACCATATTTTAGGGAACGTAACGACCCGCCTCACACTTTGAATTATGAACAATAAAAATTGGGCAAAGACATCTAACGATGTCATAAGTTGGTATATTTAAGCTGAATAAAAGTTACTATGGCGCCAAGTTCTAAATCTTGGTCCGTTCCGAGTTATCCTTAATTAAACATGGCAGTTTTAGCAGTAGCCAAGTAACGCTAGTTTTACCTATTAATTGTATTTCTGTGCTTTATAAACGTATTGTAGTTACCAATCTACGGATTTATTTTTTTATTATCAATGGATGGGTGACCAAAAATCTTCTATCTCGAGTTCCTCCGTGCTTCGGAAGGCACGTTAAGCCGTTGGTCCCGGCTGCATCTGCAGTCGTTAGCACCCGCCAATCCGCACTGGGCCCGCGTGGTGGGGTCATTAATAGGCTTATGATAACTAGATAACATATTTAATAGTAAAGTACAGTGAGATTTTTTTAATTGTGACGAAAATTGGAACTAACACTGCCGTCTTTGTAAACGTCATAATTTGTATGTCATTCACTGCCTAAATGGCAGTAGACAGGGGCGCCTCCCAGAACTGTCACTCACATTCATAAAGATCTTGGTCGCACTGTAATTAGAGCACTCATCTCCGCTGGCAACTCCGTTCACGAGCATGACGCATGAACCAGGCATCGATTCACGTAACGACCCGCCAAACACAATACCGCCAAAGAGATTTTTAAGATTATTTATCTTTCAATCAAGGTTCCCTCCTGGGTCTGAACAGCGAAGGCCCCACACGACACCACCAAAGAGATTTTTATGATAGAATTATACGATGACTTATCTTTCCATCAAGGTTCCCCTGGGTCTGAACAGCGAAGGCCCCACACGACACCACCGAAGATATTTTTATGATAGAATTATACGATTATTTATTTTTTAATTCAGGTTCCCCTGGGTCTGAACAGCGAAGGTTTACCCCTTGGCATCCAGGTGGTGTCCACGCCTGGCAACGAAGCAGTTTGTCTCGCCGTCGCCGATCACCTGGCCAAACTGTTCGGGGGATTCGTTCCCCCCTGCAGAGTACTAGACTAGTCGTTGTTCTACTTGTTTCTATCTTAACGCTGGATCACTTAGGGAGCGAAATGAAGTTTTCTAAAAAGTTTTTTAAAAATCCGCCTTTTATATGGCCTCTGCTTTGGTTACTTATAACAATTCTAATTTTGAGGGAATATGCTGTTATTTAAAGTGTGTAGGGATCTTTGAATAGGTACCTAATAATTTACAATTATTATTATTTTTTGGTAGGGATTAATTAGAAGCGCACGTTGCTTTTGCAATAAAAAAATATTGCAATCTGGTTTATAACTCTTCAACGTACTTAACATTCAATAATTTATTCAATCTCTGTAATTTTAATAGTTTTAATATTTTTTTAGTTAGATTTGTAAGAGAAATCTGTGAAACAGTCTTGATGAATGTGACTTGTTGTAGCAGGGAAAATGGCAAAATAATATAAATCAGTTATTTATTTGATTCGAAATAAGTGCATATTAATTCAAGAGATGAATTTAAAGACCCATCTTCAACAGGGCAGAATTTTATAAAGCATAATAAAATAAGCATAAATAGTTACTTGCAATGTTAAAATACACATTCCTTGTTGTACTTTGCTCTCCGATTGTTTTTATATGATTTTATTTTTGAATATTTATATTTTTTTGTGCATGTACCGCAATATAATAAAAAACATACCAATATTAACCAATACTCGGTCATAGAATGACCTTAAGACTGATACGATTTTACAAATAAAATTGTTCTTGTATAACCAATCTACAAATACAATATAATCCTTTGTGTAATGTTTAAGGTAATGGTGCAATTATGTTATTTTTGTATTGATATTTTTCTAATAAATATTCCTGTTCATATTTTGTTTACATTCAAAATTACCCTTTTAAAAGTAAGACACGTTTAGGCCGATATAAATTTAGATAGTAATTTTTATACATTTTATATGTGCCTATATAATACAAACATCAGTACCCTTAGCACGAACCAAAATCGAATTCGTAACGTTTGCGAGTCCGAAATGTCATTGTCAAATCTGTACTGATTTTTAGTTCTCGTTACGTATTTTGTGCCGCTGCTGTGCAGTTCCCATACAAAATTTGACATTGACATTTCGGTTTGCAAACTATTCGAATTCGATAATGGTTCGTACTAGGGGTACATTCATGTTATCTTTCAAACTAACAGAAACTATACTCCTCGTCGTCTGGACGACATAATACCATTTATTCTCTCCATAAATATCTGCAACTTTACTCGAAGAATTTTATGAAATTATCAGTTGTCCCAGCGAACTTTCGTACCGCCATAGGCAAATTTTGGGTTGTATGTATTTTTGTATGATGGTATCATAAAAAAAAATGTCCAAAAAATAAATAAATTAAGGGTGGACCACAGGTAACATTTAGTGGGATAAAATATAGATGTCCGATTCTCAAACCTACTGAATATGCATATAAAATTTCACGTAAATCGGTCGAGCCGTTTCGGAGTAGTTCAATTACGCACACCGTGACAAGAACATTTTATATATTAGATGTGAACCTGAGATGTGACGAAATTATATGCCGTCCATATTAGTTGGACAAGTTTTATGAATTGAAAAATTCTAACTCTAAACGTATTCGATTGTTAGACATACATAGCTTTAGGTAGAAAAAATTAAATAAAACAACAAGTTACTGAGATGAAATCTTTATTTTGATTTATAAATCTGTTGCGTGCGGCGCCCGACCGACAGTCCGTCTGTCTGTCATCGGGCCCGCGCGCTCGCCGCCTCTACGCTACGCTGCTGCTACGGCGGCGCTACGACGCTACGACAACACGACACCCTGCGACCTGGCCCGGCCTATGCTATTTGCTATATACATTCATTTCTTATCTTATACGCTCCATTTGAGAACAATTTTTTATATACACTGTTAATTTTGAGGTACCCGAGAAACTTAAACATAGTTTGTACAGTTATCAACAGTAACGAGCCTCATACAAAAATATTGATTTATATCGATTACAAAATATCGTAAAACGACACAAATTTGTAATTACATACCTATTATGGAATTATTATCCGTTTAAAGTACACAGATCCTTAAAGTATTTCTCTTTAAATTATTTTATAACAATTACAATTGTTAAGATTTCACACAGAGAAGAGAAAAAAAAATATTTTTGCTGAAATATAACCTAAATCGTTGTCTGAATTACATGGTAATGTTTCTCTGGTAACTCAAAATACATGGTGTATAACATATCATTCATGAAGCTACAAAGTTCTGCAAGATTGAATAAGGATGGCAGCAGTAAGCCGTTTTTATATCGATAATCGAAAACTATAAAAATGTTTAGGAAACCACATTTTTGTTTTCAAAAGCTACGAATTAATTTCAAACTTTAATGCCTACTTTCAAATAGCGCAACTAAAAGATCCTTGTTCAATCCTGCACGGAAAAAGAGTGTTCAATCGAAAATTTAAGTTTCCAGAATTGATCCCAGCAATGGAGGTTCTTAGCCGGGCCTTTAAACTAAGTTATAGATTGGGTCGGATCGGATGCTTGTAAGTACGACCTGACCCGCCTACGTCTAATGCCCGGGTCACCCGCGCCCGGTGTATCAGATTTATACAACAAGGATCCCGGCACTTTTCCGTCCGAGATTCAGGTACTAAGTACCGCGCGTTAACCCTTCACGCAGCACAACAATCATTATCACAAGTCAATAATTAATCAATAATTAAAAATTCGCTGCCGAAGGGAACTCTTACGAGGGAATCGTGGATCGAAACGTCCAAGTTTAAATTTTATCCTTAATCGATACTAGACTTAACGATAAATTGGAATATTCGATAGAAGGAACGTTCGCTATCACATCACTAACGCCCGAAGACATTTTTCGTCCTTAACTCACTTCTACTAAAGGGATGGGAATATCTACGTTCGGAACGTATCTGAAAAATCAAAGTCGACATCTACGACTTATGAATAAACGGGACAAAAGGGTTCTCTGCGGTTAAAAATGCTTTCTTATTTCCACTCTAACACTTAATTTACTATACGACCATTCGGTACCACAAGAGACGGCATTTCAATAGCCTTAATAATAACAAGAGACACGAATTGGGAATGTTTATGTGGTCTGAATCGATCGACTAAGTTTAATAAAGTAACTAGCACACCACTATAAAGTAATGGCCTGGTATTTTTTACTATATATAAGAAAAGGCAAATTATCGCGAAGTTTTAAAGTATTGTGTACATCACTGATTAGACGGAGGGAATTCGAAAATGTTTTGGTAGAGTTTCTAAGGGGTTTTAGTAGTATTCCTAGAGATTTTGGTAGTTCTTTTAGAAAGCATGGTAGAGTTCCATGGTAGCTTAAGTAGAATCTAATGGTAGTTTTAGTAGAATACCATGGTTGCTTTGTAGTTTTTAGGGGCTGTTATCATCTAAAGTTCTACGTTTGTCCCATTGTAATTTCATGAGAATTCCCTGGTGGTTTAATAGTTTTAAGGGAGCCTTTATCACCTAAAGCTTTAAGTTTGTCTTTAAGCAAAATTCCTCGTAGTCTTTCGCTTGAATTCGTGGTTTTTACGAGGCCCTTTTTTCTTAAAAGTCTTTAGTCTATCCCATAGTAGTTTCAGCAGTGGTTTCCTGTGGAATTTTGGCAGAGATTCGGGGCTAGTTGTCGGGGTATTAGAAGAGCGCGGGGCAGCAGGCGAGCAGGCGCGCCAGGGCGGCGGGTAGGGCTCCTCAGCTCGGGAACTTCGCGTACAAAGCGTAGTGCAGCGAGTAGCCCGCGAACTGGACGTACTGAGAGTCCTTCGGCTCGTACCCGACGAGGGACGAGAACTTTTTGAGTTGGCGCGGCACGTCCGCTGCTGGCGAGTCCTGGTGTGTGAATGATGGGAGGTGGTTACAGATTGGTGGTTGATAGCTTAGATTAAAATTTTCAAACAAAAAATAAAACCGACTTCGAAATCGAAAATGGAACTAAAAAGTAAAATATAATATCTGGTGCATGATTTTGAAGTCGGGCGGGTCAAGATCGAAAGGCGTATTATTACCGATCAGAAACGAAAATCTATTTAATATTTCAATCTTGACCCCGCTGTTGTCAAATTTACATAAAATTTACAAATAATAATATCCACGTTAAGTGCTAGCTTAAGTATATATGTACCTATGTGTGATATATAATACTTACAGGCGTTGCGAACACGATAAGCACGAACTTGGCGAGTCGGAAGGCTGCTAGAACCCTCGTAATGACGTCATCGCAGATGCCTGTATGTCTGTCTATCAGTCTGTATATAAAGTAATACATTATACTCACAGGCGTGGCGAACACGGTAAGCACGAACTTTGCTTGTCGGAACGCGGCGAGTACCCTCGTAGTTGCTTGTATGTCTGTCTGTCAGTCTGTACCTATATAAAGTAATACATTATACTCACAGGCGTAGAGAACACGGTGAGCACAAACTTTGCATGTCGCACACGGTGAGTATCCTCGCCATCGTAGTTGCCTGTATGTCGGTCTATCTGTCCGTAACTATATAAAGTAATACATTATACTCACAGATGTGGCAAACACGGTAAGCACGAACTTTGCTTGTCAGAACGCGGCTAGTACCCTCATCATCGTAGTTGCCTGTATGTCTGTCTGTCAGCCTGTACCTATATAAAGATATTATACTCACAGGCGTGGCGAACACGGTGAGCACAAACTTTGCTTGTCGGAACGCGGCGAGTACCCTCGTCATCGTAGTTGCTTGTATGTCTGTCTGTGAATCTGTACCTATATAAAGATATTACTCACAGGCGTGGCGAACACGGTAAGCACGAACTTGGCGGGTCTGAAGGCTGCCAGAACCCTCGCGATGACGTCATCGTAGTTCCGCGCGGGCACATTGCTCTCGAACGACACGTATGAGCAAGCCGGCTCAGGGGTAATGTGGATGGTCATGTAGCAACCCTAGTGTTTCAGACCAAAGTTTGTACGTTAGCAGTGTTTACTTCAAAGTCTCGTGTCAATGATATGGTACTAGACACAGTCTAAATTAAACCAGGGGATCACTTTGTTACTGTATTAACATTAACTAAGAGAGAGAATCGTTTTCAATCAGTTTTGTAAAAACAACATACAAAAGAAATATTTTGATCCAGGTTAGGTCTGCGAGCTCAAAATGTAAAAAGAAGTAATTATTAATTTGTTAGTGAGATAATATTGTAGTATAAACGATTCTGTCCCTGTCGCACATTATTTCTAACCGGACATGCGAGAGTAGCAGAATATTTTACAAATTCATTTCCAATTCGTTTCTTTACTAGGAAGAGTTATAAAAGCCTTTAATATATAACGCTTTGTATGATGCTAACAAAAACACACAGGCAAAAGTATAAAAAACACATATGCATGACACTAAATGTTACGTAAGCGTATCGTTGGATTTTCAATATGTGTAAGTAAAATATCACTTTATTAATGGGCTTTGACCGATTCATTTATGAATGTTGTTCAATCTATATTCACTATAATGATTGAAGACATCATTTTCAAATGACACTAATTTTCAAAATTCCTCATTTTCATTGAGAATACATAATAAATTGCATTTAAATAAGGTCTGAATTAAACGAACAATTTAATATGTAACGGCAAATTAAACTGTAAAGGAGATTGTGTCTACACATTTGTATGATCTCTTTCCATCCATGTGAGAACCTCTTCTTGGCTCCAATATTTTAATTAAGGACAATAAGTCGATATTGTATTTTTCTTTTAAAAATAAAACCTATGATTTGTAGCCCTTATACATATTTTGATTGTTTGTTGAAGAACAGAAAGAGATATAGATAAATATGGGAAGCAAAATACCTTTGAACTATTTACATTAAAGCATTAGAGTAATCCTTATTCAAAAGTGAATAAAATAAAAATTATAGAAGTCGATTTTACCATATTATTATAGGAATTGATATGTTTTAGAGAAATATCAATAATACTTCGCCTGCAGGGTCTTTACTATTTCATACGAGGCAAAACTAATAATGGCTGTTTTCTATAAAATCAAACACAATTTATATCTAATTTAAATTCGTTAAAACTTGATTAATGCAATAAAAAATATTTATAATATTGGACCCAGAATGGAGCCTTGCGGTACACTTTAAATTTTTCCCATATTTTCAGAAACAAACCCAGGACCCGATACCTGCTGATAATAATAAAGACCCTTTCGTCAATATTAAATCCGCTAGAATATCCCAATAATAGTAAAATCGTTCCATACTGTTGTCATACTAAATTAAAAGCTCTTTATAAATCATTAAATACATACAGTCACCGTTTAGACCAAGGCCAACAGCAGCTTTTGTAACAATAATGTAATCTTAGTGATACCATTGGTTCTTTCTATTAATACTGTAATGAATGGGTAATTAAATAGGTACTTTCAACGAAAAAATCTAAATTATACTTTCGCTATGTAAGCCAATTAACGCTAGAATGTTTCTATATGAAAATTCAATTACCACACGAAGCCCTGTGGTTTCTTTATGTTAAATTATGACTTACTGATGGTATATCCTTATCCCCCTTTGAAAGCATAAAACGAATTCAAACATGTCAGTATCAGGAAACATTTATTTTGCAAATTCAGCCTTAATAAGGCTATGGGAGAAAAGATATTTATTATAATTGAAGGAGGTCAGTAATTTTAAGCTCGATTTAGGGTTATTAAGACGAATCATAGCAATTTTGGTGTTTCTAAACGAAATAATAGTTTTAATTGCCATGTATGTGTTGACTAAAAATACAGACAAAATTCTTTTTTGTTATTGTGTACTCGCATATCTAATATGTTTGAGTGTTTTAAATTATCATAGTCGTATATGAAACAATAAGACAATCTGAGAATGTAGGTAAGAAACATTTGCAATACTTACATCTTTAGCAACCCCGTTCATAGAGTAGCCGCAAGGATCGAACAAGAAGTCGTCTATGACCATCCCGGGAATGATTTTGTCTATGCCGGATGCCTACAACAATACAGATGATACTTTTCAATATATTTATAATAACAAAGTAGTTCCTGGGCGATTCAAACTTTATCTACTTTGTCCGCGCGCAACTTCATCACCAGAAATTTCGTCCACTGCGCTGGGATGTGAGCTCGATGGCGCAAGCGGTTAATGCGCGGTCAGTCTAAAATCATGGCAATTAAGTAGTTTTCGTAATGGTCGTTCATCGAATAGGTGACCAAAAACTTATTATTCGTAGTTTGTATGGCACGTTAAGATATCGATGGTCTGTGCCCCAGCATTGAGGACATTAATAGCCTGATGATGATGAAAATACCTTGGTAGCTTGGGTCGCATCTGTAGAGGCAGCTCGCGTGAATATGTCCATGACGGCGGGGTCGAGGTCCGACATGAGGATCTCGATGGTCTGGTCGGGCTCTGATTGGCAGCGGTCCACCACTTCACGTTGTTCCTTCTCCAAAGCATCCACTGTACCTGAAACAGACAGCATTATTTGAGACAAGTGGTCCGACGTCGCTTTGCTTCGGTGAAGACTATAGTTTCTGCTCGCTATATATTATATAGCCTATGACCTACAGATACTATGATTGCAGCAACATCCGAGGACTGCTAGGCTTTCTGGAGGAGCTGAGATGGCAGGACTGATACCAATATTAACGCAAATCAGACATATGGTGTCAAGTTGCGGAAACAGCCCGCCGTACTACTACTAACCCATGACATGCACAAATAACGTAGCTTTCTATTGTTAAAGAAATTTCAAAATCGGTTCCGTAGACCCAGAGATTACCCCGTACAACGTAAGAATTCACAAACTTTACCTCTTTATATAACAGCATAAAATTTTGGAATGGAACTGTAATCACAGCGACTTAGAAGTTCTAGTGTAACTCGATTTCGAGATTTTTGGGATATACAGCCCAATGGAGCTAGTCACTGCGGCAGTGTTGCCAACTCGGATTTTGAAAAAGGCGTAGGCCCGATGAGAAAATTACGTAGAATTGGTAAAATTTGCATATGAAAAGTACGTAGATCTACGTACTTTTTTCTGAGTGAAATGAAGAAGTTAGGTGAAACCGAATAAAACGAGTATTTGGACAATTTCTTTAAAAACGGGAGATAGAACAAAGAGTTCTTGGAGAAGTCGCTGCATTGGAAGCATTAACCATGCTGTGGTAGACATTTACCATCAGACACAGACACTGGTAGGTGTCGATTCTGGCATGATTCTCTAAATTTAAAACTAAATTTAACATCAGTCTCTCCTTTTCATTCTGTATAGAGAATGACAAGGATACACTGTTGTTAAATAGGCTAGTTGACACTTTTTGCAATTATGTTTTAAATTGTTGATAATTGTTCTATCAGACTGAAAAAAATGTATTTTTTTACCTAGAAGACATACAAAAACGCTATTTATCTATAGACTTATCTATACTATGACGTCAAAACATTTGTAAACAAACACTCGCAAGCCTACGTGCTTGTTTTCACTTTCTGAGTTAGTATTACAAAACCATGATGTTTAATAGATCACATGAAAAATATCGTAGTTATCATGATACACTTGGTAAAAGACTCTAGAAAAGTTGTGGTTTAAATTGCCAAGAGAAATAAACATACTTACACATGAACACAATCATGTTTAAAACTTGCTAAATCCTGTAACTTTATCGACTGAAAGTCATTTCTTTTTGCAAAGATCAATTCGATGCAAGTTCTCATTGAATAATATTTAAAGTTTAAAAATAATCATTTTAAGGTTATGAATGTACCTACTATGTCAAAGAGTTTTGTCGTTTCTGCTTTCACAAATCCTGCGTCCAGCATTAATTTAGTCAACAAATCCAATAACGGGAAGCTTTTCTACAAGATACAAGAGTTTTTAGATACATCTTTATGAGAAATAAACATTTGTATAGTTTTTAAATAAAGTAACTGAAAATATTCTTCTTTATTCTAGTGAATTAAGTTATTTTACAAATTTGAAAAAATTGAAGAAAATACGTAGATTCTGGGACTGAAGTTAGTAGGTTTGCAGAAAAGGCCTAAAATACGTAGATCTACGTAAAAAGACGTAGAGTTGGCAACACTGCACTGCGGGCTAAAAGATTTACCTATTGTAACTCGCCACATTTTTTTTCCGGATCTTAGTCCGGATGCAGTTGATCTGACGTAATCAGTGACTTTGTATAGTTTATTTCCAATTATTTACTTTATGATATTTGTCATGATTTAAACTTTAAAAATTTATATGTGTATTATATAATATATTTTATGTAACTGTTTATTAACTATGAAATACATATTTCCGATTGATTTCTTTCAAATGCGGTCATTACAATTTCTATTATATATACGAATAAATGATATTTGTTTCTTAGGTTTTCACGCACATCACTCATTAAATAAGGCTACGAAACGTCAATAAATAAATAAAGTTTTCGTGCATTAACGAATAAATGAGTTCTATTAACTAAAATTTGTCTAAGACTTTTGTTTTTAATGTATTTTTATTCATTTTGAATTTTATTTTAGTTTCCACATTCATTTTGGCGAGTTGGTTCTTTGGGCATTCTGTTATGAGTTACATATACAAATCGGTTTATCCTTTAATTTGAACCTGGTAGTGAGCGAGTCCTCCGGGGCCTGTGACTCGCCACATATTAGGTCCGCTGTCCCTACACGATACATTATTATCTACGATTTTTACGAAGTCCTTAATAAAACTGTACACTATGCGACCTAAAAGGTCCTAAATATAGTGATTTGCGACTTGCCGCCGATTTAAAGTATTTCTTTTATAGGCCACATGTTGTCTCGTTCTATTGTTAGCGCAAAGAATTAGTCAAGGTGTCCAGTTAAGGCTCGTACAATAGCATGGGTGCCTCCACGGTTCATTATAATCGCCATAAAACGGCCTGGTTGCAGAGAGAGGTCATGTCCTGACCTTGACCATTTGCGAATATGCCGTTTAAAGAAGGAACTTTCTTTGTATAATAATTTATTACCGACCAATTTCAATAATCTGACTCCATTAAGAGACTGGCTTACTAGATCTTTTATTTAGATTATAATAACAAGCGTTGCTAAGAAACAGAACTAGATAATCCTTTTTTTTCGATGACTGTGAGAAAAAATATATTATATCCACGGCAATGACCAACGCCACGTTGGTTTGCTGTTAACAAACCCTCGCGACGCAGGTAATTGCGTGGTGCATTCGGCAAGCGGCGAGTCGCCCGAGGGTCGCTAGTCGGTGTGGATATACTTAGACGTACAATCACGCAAGCGTGACATACGTCAACCACCCCGTCTCAAACCAGCAGCCCGGTCCGCACCCGCTTTAGCCGATCCTGGGCTTCTCCCTTCACAGCGTCACCTGGCTAGTCTCACGGACCACAGTCCGAGCGGCTAGCCAGCCGACCAGCTCCCGTACCTACCAGGTAAACCAACTCCTTGATCTACCCCTCACCCTCCAGGCGTAACTGCGCGGTCCAGTTATGAGTCGCCGCTTGTTACGCCTGGAACTAGATAATCCTAACCTTTTATTGTAGATCAAATTTAGCAACTGGTCGTTAGAGTTTTGCACGTCCCTGAGACATATTTACATTTTAGATAGTGCCTATATACCATAGCAGTACTCAAAAGCGAGAACATGCTCTACAATAACCACTCAATTATCACGAACAAGCTGATGAATAAAGATCTTACCTTCCAGAGGCAGCAGTGTGTAAAGGTACCAGCAGTCTTTCTCTGGGCCCATGATGTATGCACGCCCTTCGCCAAAGAACGAATCCAACAGTTCCACCTGCACCAAAAATATAACTATCTTGTACTAGTATTATTAAAATACAGCTATATTTGTTTTGCTGTATGTTAAGAATTCAGAACATTGCCTAGTATTTAAGTTAAATGAATTTGTGAAACTTCAACTCGACCATAGACAAGGAAACCTGCGCAGTAGCAATTTAACATACAAAAATGTCTACTGTGCACGTTTATTTCTCTGTCATTTTTCTTTAGTTTGCCGCTACACCTTTGTTGATTGTACGCCACTAAAGTATCAAAAATCGCTTATTAAGAAAAAGTTTTTGAGAAACAACTGAAGGAACGGAACTTTACCACCACTGATAAATTTTGCAAATCGATTGTGAACATTAAAACAAGCAGAATAAAACTCAAAGTCAATTGGGTGCACCTATGGTACCTATAAGAAGTACTTCATCCCGCATTCTTTGTGTTTTTCCTTAGATGGATCGAATTCGAAACTCGTTCTGTGATAATTAAAGGCTTCGTTGGAACAATCGATGCTCGAAATTCGATTATAATGTATTTTGCAGGTCGATTGCAAAGAATATATCGTCCGGTCGAATTACATCAAGTGAGTAACTCAATACCGCCGCAAACATTTCACATTAATCAACAATTATCGTGACGTATACAATAACATCTTTTGTTACATAATTTATACATAAAGCAAATTCATTAAAATTAAAATGCTAAGTAATAATAAAAAAGATACACAAGAATATATTTTATATATTCTTGTGTAGGTCATAAAAGTAACCTAAGCCGCTTACGTAATCGGTCAATTGCATTTGTCAATTCTTGATAATTGCTATTAAAAATCAATGGCCGTGACGTGTCCCAAGATTCCGAAGGCAACTGATGATTAGATTTGTGGCAGTCATGATTTATCAAAGCATCATTTAAGGGAAATCATTGATTAATCGAATGTTTGAAATCATCTTTATTGCAATTTGATTCCCAGATATAAAATCGAAAGAAACTTTTCAGAAAATGACGTGTAAAGCTCTTTAAAGGATTAGGTGTAAAATACCTTTGTGTTTTTTATTCATTTGAATTTATTCCTTCCTCCTATAAAAGATAATGCGGGCAAAATACCCAGCTGTGCAAAAACAATTCCTATAAATGACGTACATACTTAATGCGTATGCGGGGAAAATCTTAAGTAAAATGCAATTAATTCAATACAGATTATCTAATTGCGTCCTCGTAAACGTCATACTTTATAAGAAAGGCTTGTTAAGAACGATAATCGAATACAAACTATGCAACTTTCTATTTCGTTGCCTTAAACTCACTTTACGTAGGTATCCCAACAGAATAATACTGGACTGGAGATATAGTAATAAAAGTAATAAAAATTAATCAAACAGCTACAAACAAATAACTACGAATTGATTCACTGGAAATTACTCATACAATTAGTGTGAAAAAGTTAACTTATCAATGTATATTCCGTTTCGAGATAAAGTTCTCTGAAATCTGTCCAAAGAGCTCAAAGTTGAATTAAGCAAGTTATTATAATTTCATTAAACATTTCCTATGATAGGGTTGTGCGAATCCTAGGAATGAACAAAAATACCTAACAGTTATTATAAATTTCCGACAGCTTAAAAACCTAAGTTAACCCAAAACTAAGTAGAATTTGTACTATATAAAATTAATAATAACAGGGATAAGTATAAAAACAAACATGATTCGGGAACAAATGTTCGTGGTCATCATGTAAATAAATGCCTCTGTCGGGATTCGAACCTTTGGATGAGAAAGCAAAAGCGCCGCTGTTGCACCCACTAGTCGTCTAAATATCTTTATCCAAAGAAGTATCAGCACTGTACTGCAACTTAAGAATTGGTCCCAATATGCTACCCTAAGGTACACCATATAAAAACTTATATATTTTTTACTTCAAGTACTTTCTTTTTAATATTCATAGTTGTGATGATAGAAAACACTGATTCTCATAGTTTATTTAGGTAGGCCGATACAAAAAATTGGCAATTTCCATTATAACGAAGGCTTTCGTTTACCCCAAACGTAGAATCTCCTTCCTGGTCAAGCACTCTTGGCAGAGTGGTTGTGGTTATACCTAAGACGATTCCTGTGCCACCTATGCACTCCCGACATGCAACGTAACTCACTTTGTAGCTAGATGTTTAGCATAACAGGCACAATCATTAACGCTGAAGTGCGTCGTCGAAATAATGAGGTCTGTCCATGGTGTTGGAGAACGCCCGTGAGCTCTTTTGTCCTCAATGTTCCCTTGCACCACCAGCCGTTCCATGGAGTTTTCGTTATGAGTTATATATTCGAAATAGAATAGCCTATTTGACAGTATGAAAAATGATGCACCAATTGTTGGCATCCGTGTTTAATATGAATACTAGCAGCGAAATTACTATTCTGAAAGAACAAATAATTCATTGCTTTTCTAATTTTTTTGCTCCATGGCCACGTGACCGAAAACACCTGGGATTGGCTTAATTTAGTCTTAACTAAAATGACGTCACACGCTAGTAAACTTCCGGCCAAAGTGGCATGACACTGTATCGTTTGACGTTTTAATGACAGTCGTATGGCGTCACACACTATTGAGACGCCATAATGTCCAGAAAATAGTTTTCGCGGCAACGTGAAAATATAATTTTCAATTTAGTTTTTTTACTGTATAACGCAGCAGAATTAAAAATATCCACTTTCTGTGGACTCCTTAAACATTAGTAAATAACGTGCGATCATTTTATAAAACTTGTCAAATACGCTATTTCGTTTACCTTACCACGTAAACACCCCTAATGTCAGCGAATTTTATATCCCCCCCCCCCCTCACCTCAGAGTCGAAGTTATCGTGCGGCTTGAGCTGCGCGTGCGGGCGCGCGAACTCGCGGCGCGAGTAGAACACGTTGTGCACGCGCTCGTGGCCGGCCACCTCGCGCGCGAGCTGCAGCACGGCGCGCACGCAGCGCAGCGGCGTGGTCGTGCCGCACGTCTTCAGGATCCAGCGGCGGCGCGACACGAACATGCTGCTTTCGCTGAAACAAGGGGAAACAATCCATGTAAAACTGTTGGCAGACCACGTTTTTGTATAACTAAGGAAGAGTTACTAAGTGGCAGTGGGCGGGACACGTAGCAAGAAGAACCGATGGCCGATGGGGCGTAAAGGTTCTGGAATGGCGACCACGCACCGGAAGACGCTCAGTGGGCAGGCCCCCTACAAGGTTGTGAAGGTCGCGGGCAGCCGATGGATGCGAGTGGCGCAGGACCGATCGGTGTGGAGATCCTTGGGGGAGGCCTATGCTCAGTAGTGGGCGTCGTACGGCTGACATGATGATGATGATGAAGGAAGAGTTCGACGTTTGAAGACCACTTCTTGAATGACAGCCTCTACATGAGACCATTTCTGGTATTGACCACTTCTGCTTAAGATTATCTCATATTATGACTGTTTCTGAATTCGACCATTTACTTTTTCGTCTACTTACAGTAGTGTCCATACAAGAACTAAGCTTTACAAGAAGTAGTCGAATCCAGAAGAGGTCATAACTACAAAAACACCAATGAAGAACTGGTCCTTAAACGTCGAACCCCCAAGGAACCAGGATCAGCTTAAATAGTGACTTTAAAAATCAATATTTAATGTATGTATGTACAAAGTAAATAATATTTATCAAAATTTGATATTCGTAATAAAAGGGGAGATGGACATCTCTGAAGATCTTCATCCCAGTGTCCATACTGTATTAGGCAAACGAATAATGATGAAAAAACAAAGTGTCGCTGCTTCCGATTTAAATGAGAGGGCTTTAGCTAGAAACCAATAATGTGTGGTAATGGTAAGTAGTTATCTTTATAGGCTGAGCTTATAATTCTCATTGAGGGGCGAACATTATTTCGAGACTGAATCCTCAATTTTAGTTATCTTATGAAAACTTTCATTAAGTGATTTTTTATTTATTTCTATTACTTATTTAATAATAACAAATTATAATCTTGATCCAATCAATTTGATCTAGTTCAAAGACAAGTGTCCTAATTTACATCGTTCAGGTGATTACTTATTTAGCGAATTAAATATAGGTTAATAGTTTATTAATGTCTATGAATATTATATTATTATATTCAATCGAAACTCAATAATATACATAAATATTAGATTAATAGGAAGAACTTATTTATAATTACTAATTGATATAGGTTAAATATTTTCTGACAGATCTAGTTATTAAAAAATTACAAAACAAGATATTTGTAAAGATTCCGTGCCTTAAAAATGAAAAATAAAAAAAACAAAGAACTGAAGCCTTGTAGGACCATTTTGTTGTCAAGACAATTTATCCCGGAGTCGCGAGAAGATGTATCGAGTTGAAACTTGAAGCAGTCAAAAAATCAAACTTTAAGATAACGCAAAAAAAGATATGACCGTTTTTATTGCGTACCTAAATTTTTTTACGGTGGGCGAGACCGAATCGCACTTGCCGGTTATTTTACTACTAAAGATAGAATTTACACAGTAAACACAACAAACAAAATCGATCTCTACAATTATTTATTTAAAGAATGTTAGGTAATGTTAATGATTATTTAATAAAAGTAAAGTTCAATATAGATAAAAAATTGGCTAATGTCTAAGAGTCCAGCAGTAAGTAACATCACGGGGTCGATGATAATTTAATTTTAAACAAAGGGGTCATCGAGATAGCATCAAACATTGGCTTGGCTTCGGGATAAGGTATAATATTTAGTAGGTCCACCATTATCTGTATAAGGAATAAGACTATTTTTATTTGTAGCCAATTGCAGAGTTTCAGTTATTTCTTTATTAAGGTTTTATTGTATTGATCGAGGATTGAGTACTTTCTTTCTTATATCTGATGTTTTCTCGCACTCTAGTCATTAAACGAAAACAGCATTAGGTGCCCTCGTAAAAACAATTTCATTGCTTTCCTTTACTATTCAATAAATAAGAAATACCAAAACAGTTGCCAAAAATACGTAAACGTTCCCGCTGATGGATATGTCTGCTACAATGTCTGCTAGTTTCAGCTTCATGCATCCTAGACCTTTATGTATCATCATCAGCCTATTAATGTCCCCGCTGCTGGCAAGCCTTCCCTATGGATGGAATAGGGAGATGGGGAGATGTTTAGGTCAACGAAAACAAAACAAAAATACGGAGTCGGAGCTCTGTCATAAAAGTAAAATATAATATATTTTAAGTAGCTGTTGAATCGTGTTTTTAATGTTTAATCATACACTGAGTGTTTGGCAGCAGTTCAACTACCGTATACTCCGACGTCATGTGTACGTAATGTTCGACTCCGGTGTTAAATTTAACATAATTTGAGCAGGTTGTTATGATGCAATGTGGAAGTGTCTTCAACGTCATGTCAGAAATATTATGTTCCGTTAAACAATTACGAAAAACAAATGATATTCATACACAAACGCACGACAGTTCTACGAGACGAGATGTTTGTAGATATTAGTTTACAGAAGACTAGCTATTTACCCAAACAAAATATACGAACAAAAGAGTTTCAATCCATTGTTTTACATGTATTTCACTGCAAACGACATCACATGATGTACGACGATCGTACGAAGACGATTAACGACTATTTGCTTTCTAGCAATTGGGAGTTTTTGCCCGCCTCAAAACCCATTTTTATATATCTGACTCATTTTAAGCGGCACCTTTCTTGTACTATAATATATGGTTAGGGTTGCCAGATACTGGCTTATCAATTTCGGGACATTTGCACCCCCCCAGATTTATTTCTGGGAGGTAATCTGAATGACATTAAACAGGCCAGCGGTGTTATTCGTTATTAGTTTATTCTGTTACGAAACTAGCACATTATCGGAATCAGGGACAATAAGGTCTTATTACTGGACACGGGACAAAACGCAAAATTCCGGGAAAATCCCGGATTTCCCGGCCATCCTGGCAAGCATATGTATGATACAGTCTGCGAGACTTTATGGCGGGATTGATTCGAGTGCGGTTTGCTTCTTATTTTAATTATTCTTAAATTCGTTCATAGTGGATATTGTGAAATAAAATTGGTGTGATTTTGTGTTATAACCGTCAGCGTAGCTGAAGAATTAGTGAAATAGTTAAGTCCGGCAGTGGACGAGCATGGGTTGATGATGATGACGATATCACCAAGATATAATATACTCATACATAATTCAATAATTTAAGAATATTTTAAAATGTTAAGTCAGTCAAGCGTGTAAAAAAACACTTTCAGTCAGATTCGATCCATTACAATTTTAATGATACCTAACCTACCGATACTAATACTAATAATAGAACAAAGTTGATTCAGTGTATGTTACGAGTTACGAATCACCGAAGCATGAGCTGAGGGAATGTCAATGTAAACACTCGCTTCAATCATGTCATGAATGTCCTCCACTGCTAGCGAAGAGCGAACGCGAGCTGAGAAATTTGAAAAAACTATTGCTGTCTCGCATTGGCAAATACCGTGAGATAAGGACAACAGTAGTTAACGCTGTATGTTTTGCCTCAATCCAATCTCAACAAAATCTCCTCTCCAGGTGTTTTTAGCGGTGGTAAAAATAAGTATTTTTATTGTCATTTTTGAAGGCTTCTCGTTTCTTTGAAACACGAGTTATCGCAAAAAAGAAGACATATGAGCATAAAATGAGTAAAATTATATTTTATGTATATGAACATAAATGTTTTAGTGATAAAAAACAAGGAGGAATCAGTCGAGAACGTTTGTATGGAAAAAACAACGCCCGCCTCCCTTCTTAAGAGCTTCGACTAACTCATAGGAAAAACCAGACCAGTACCAAAATCGCGCTAAATGTCAAACGACTAAAACAACACATTGAACCGTAAACGAACCGCAACTTTTTATGGCATTTCGTATCGCGCTAGAGTTTTGACAGCTATGTTTTTTTATTATTTTATTTTAAGCATTTAACTGCTAGATGTTTAAATCTAAAGAAAAGTTTTACTAGAAAAAAAATCCTCGCGGAGCAGTGGGCCAATCGCCTAACCAGATTGCTTTGGAAAACGCTATCGCTTACGATTTCATTTTGTTATTTCTAACCGCCGAAGGTTTTCAAATACCTCACGCTCATTTTCTTTAACATTGTTATTACCAATGCAAAAGAAAAAAAAAGAGCGCGAGCCATTTGAAAACCTCAGGCGGCTAGAAATAACAAAATGAAATCGTAAGCGATAGCGTTATCCAAAGCAATCCAGTTAGGCGATTGGCCCCCAGGCAGCGGGCGGGACGCTGCTTTTCTTTAGATTTTGACAGCTAGTTGAGATGTAAACGTATCACGATTGGACCGTATTGCAGTTAAATTCAGTAAAAAACATTTGACCGGTGAAATTAAGCGCAATACAGACCCTCATTGAACTTGGAGATCGTTCAAAATAATAAATAGCGCGATTGGCCTACAGGACCCTTTTGATAGTAAATTTCAGTGCTGGAAATCTGGTGGTTCGCCCTAACTGCAACAGTTGGCGCGCCACACGATAAAATTGGTGATCGAAGAACTCGCAGCGGTAAAGTAGTACATGTTCTTCCACTTTTTCATAACAGTAATATTGTACCTATCTAATGCCGATTCCTATATCTATACTTATAATAAATCTGTAGAGATGTCAATTCTGTACATGAAATATATTTTTAAAATAACTATCAGGGGGTGATTAGTGATCGATACTGATGCCAAAAATGCAATCAGTAAATTTTTTGTCTGTCTGTCTGTCTGTGTGTATGTTCCTTATAGAAACAAAAACTACTCAACGGATTTTAACGAAACTTGGTACAATTATTCTTCATACTCCTGGGCAGGTTATAGTATACTTTTCATCACGCTACAATCAATAGCAGCAGAGTAGTGAAGGGAAATGTTGGGAAAACGGGAGAAGTTACTCCATTTTTTAAGCTTCCGTCGCGGATGCAGCCTTAATGGTTAAAGTTACATAGAAATCATGTATGACGGAAATATTCTACATAAAATTGTCTAAAAAATATCCCGCAAC